TAAGTAGAACAGGTTTTAATTATTTTATTGAACAATTATTTGTTTCATTGAAGAACGAAAACAGGAATGTTGAGTTAAATATTACTCATCCCCCCCAACCAACCCCAATCATTAAAAAATGAACAACAATGCACCCCCCATCCAAAAATCCCCACAAAGTCCCATTCAAAATGTGAAATGAAAAGAGCCCTTCTCTCTCCAAACAGTCCCATTACACATTCAAATCTTCCTTCAAGCAATCCTCTGCATTTTGGCTAAACCCTTTCAGTCAACGGGCTCTTCCTGGGCCTCATCAACATCACACTCTTCCTCTTCAGTGTCACTGTAATGGCTCTGTGTCAGGCTCAAAGAGCCTTAGGTTTGCCCGAATGCCAACCAGTGTTTCCACTCTCACATTTGTGAGCCTGTTGCGAACCTTTGTGTGGTCTCAATCGCCATGCAGTAACCAGTGTGCTATGGCATGGATATTCAAGTGTATTGAATGGCATCTGTTTTTTTTAGTCAATATTATGCTAAAATATACTTTCCCCAACTATATTTAAGTTCCCTATGAAGAGCCAACCTTCCATTTAGAAAATTCCCAGTTTATTCCCGTAAATTCCCGTGGAAAGTTTCCATCTTTGAAAATTCCCGGAATGTTGCAACCCTAATAGTAAATAAGCAGATTGTTATGTAAAACACATTGTTTCAAAGATTTATCATTAGGTAGGTTGGTAACCTCACTCCTTGTTAAGTACTACATCGCTGATACACTTGTTGATCATATATATATATATATATATATATATATCACATTTGTATTCGTTTTAAGTTGTGTTTATTTAACTAAAACCTAATACATAGAAGTAGAAACGTTTATATTGAGTAATATAAGATGTTTTTGCAAAAGGGTCAGCAGTTATAACCATTAATGAATCATTAATAAACGTTTAGTTTTATAACAACCCATCAGGTCTGGTCCGCCATTAATAATAAACATTGTTAACTTGGTAATCATTTAATTGTTGTCAAGATAAGGCAAGCGATCTATTGGGGAGGGGTTTCCTAAATCACTTTAGTGTCATGCTTTATTTTTGTAAACAACCTGACAACCTTCAATATGGTATTATTATATGGTTATATACCTGTTAATTAAATCATTACAAAAGTATCTGTTAATCATTAATAAACTTAGTAGATACACGTTTTACATAGTTCGTTTATATTAGAAAGATAACCAGCCCAATCAATTAAATAACAATATAATGGTAGCCAATATTGAGTAATATCCAACTAGAGGCAATGTTGCACAGTTCGTTTAAAACACACAGGGAAATCCAGAATGTCTGCTAAGGGTGTGGAGGTGTTAGCAAAGCTAGTTAGACAGGGCTCAATAGGGATTGAAAAGCTTCTCCTGTGGACTCCCGGACAGTCAATAGTTTCCGCACCGGCAGACAGATTCGGTGACACCGGGTGTCCTCTCGTTTCATGGCTGCAGGTCAGCCGTCAAACATCTGCTCCCTGCCGTATCACCTGGCGTTAGCACCAGCATGCAAGTAATAGAAGCCAGTTTGGGCATTTTAACTGCAAAATTAACACATTGCAAGTATTCAACATTATGACCTGGTAACCTGTTTTAGGTTGGCACCAACCAAATAGTTATGATTATTAATATTTGCTAAATATCAGAGGTGGGAGAAGTACTCAGATCTTGTACTTGAGTCAAGGTAGAAGTACCAGAGTGTAGGGATACTTTGTTACAAGTAAAGTCCTGCATTCAAAATGTTACTCAAGGAAAGGTACAGAAGTATTAGCATCAAATTATACTTAACGAACCAAAAGTAAAAGCAGTCATTATGCAGATTGGACCATTTCACAATAGTATATGTTTCTAATATATTATTGATGTGTTTTGAAAGCTGGTAAAGGTGGAACTCATGTCAATTACCTTATTGACTGCTGGGTAGAATGTTAATTCACTCCAGGTGCAAATAAAGTCTTATTTATCATATTGTTTATCATTTATCTATACCTGCAAAGTAACTAACAGGTACTACATAAACGTAGTGGAGTAAAAGTACAATATATACACCTCTGAATTGAAGTAGAGTACAAACACATTTAAATACTCAAGTAAAGTTCAAGTACCACAAACTTAAGTACAGTACTTGATTAAATGTACTTATTTACTTAATACCACTGCTAAATATCAGTTTGCTTGTAAGCCTTGAATTAAAGGGGAAGCCATTTTTAAATAATTTGAGTACCCGGCGTCTTAAATAGGTACAGTATGCACCTGTGCGTATGAAGATTTAAGGGTCCATATGGAAACAACAGGCTCTACCGAGGCCACTGCTCAACAAACTGTATTCCATTACTACATGAAACGACGTTACTGTCAAGCTAAAGCTACCCTTTTAGTTCTAGTTTCTAGGTTGAGCTATGACCGCGTTCCATCTTGTTTTTCCTCTAGTTTTATACAGCGGACTGGTAGTTTATTTGTCCCGTGAAGAGGTCGCTTGACACGGCCGACACGGTGAGGCACGAGCCCTGTCAGCTGACGTTAAGGAGCCCGACACATTAAAGGAGCTGTCCGCGCCCTGTTCACAGCCAGCTAGCGAATATCTGACTATACATGTATCGACAGAACAATTAGCATTAATTATTTATACACCATATTAAAACAGTATTCTTTCCAATACAGAGTTTGCCTTAACATGTAGCGTGTTAAATGTAAACTCACTATTCGGGATTCATGGTTTCTCTCTGGATGTGTTTTTCTGTCGGCGAATCTTCCTTCCTACTCCGGCGAAAAAGATGACTTGTAGGTCCGGGTATCCTAGGCACTTGGATGGCTGTTTTACCGTCTCCGTTATCGTCCCGAGGTCGTTCCACTGTATTCGACCTTTATCGTTTCATATACCCTCGATACTAGGGGACATATCCTTGTTTCTTCGGGTCAGGCTGCCGTAATTTACTCCTATTTTCTGCCTTCTGTGTCCGTTGCTTGCTAGGAGTTCAAGATGGCTGCGCAGGTGCGGTAGTGACGTGAGGTGACGTGTCACTACTCGGTTCAGAAAGCAGGGACGAATCGAGAACAACAGTGGCGCTGGGATTTGTAGTTTATCAGGAAAAGTAGGTTTAAAAAATAACTGAACTCACTGAGGTAAACATGAAAGCAGCTGCTTGGGTTGGGTGATGTAAACACAATTATTATTGCTAAAACTCTCAAATGTCAACTCCCAATAAAAAAAATATATATAGATGTTTAAAAACACAAGTAAAGACATCAAATTGTTAAAATAGTTGTGTTTTGCTGAATCAGATTCTATTATTATATTTAAAATATGTGTACTTTTAATATAAATTATTCAACTTTATCAGTTAACTTTTATAAAAGGAAATACAATCATTAGGTTTGTCTGCACCAGATCAGAATAAGAATCAGAACTGAGTTTATTAGGAGTTTATAGGAATTTTCTATGGTGTGAAAACATAAACAACACAAGAAAATAAGTTGTAATTAAAGATAAAAAATAGAACTATTTTAAAAGAAAATATATACAAATACAAAAGAAACTAAACAACTTAGCACAATGAATATAGGACGAACTACTGTATAATAGATTTTATATTTACAATACAATTATACAAAACATATAAAAAGTGCAAAATAGATTTTCTTTTCTGTCGCTCTCTCAGTCTACGGGGAAATGCCCCTGAGCATTTTATACAAACACAGTTAATGAGAGTTTCAGTTATAATGTTGTATCTTAAACATTGTCTTTTTTAGTCGTAATCATCCCCCTTAACTGCAGAGCCAGTAATATACTTAAGGTAGCCATCCGCTACTTCCTCATCCTCCTCTCTGGCTGCAGCAGCAGCACCAAGAGGAGTAGGCAGGTACACATTCTCGCATCTCCCCCCACATTCAGTGTGTGTCTCCTGAGAGGCAGAAGCAGCAGCAGCAGCCACCTCCAGGCCGTGGTTGATGTAGCTCTCCTCCTGGCTGGCCTCCAGCTCTGGCAGCTCTGACAGGAGAGCTCTCAGTGTCTCACACAGCTCCCCAAAGCCAGGCCTGAGGCTCGGGTCCTCGTGCCAGCAGCTCTGCATCACCTCGTAACTGTGATGGTGGGGCGCAGGAGGCAGGGCATATACAACTATGCATATTGTTGATTCACACAAATATGTTCTATTGCAATTGTATAAAGGTCCCCTATTATACTCTTCTTCAACATTATATTATAGGTCTCAGATATATACAGAACATGTCTCTGAAGTGTTTGGCTGTAATAACAGACAGATCATTGCAGCATCCCATAATCCCCTCAGTTTCAGCCATGTTCCAAAAGTGCTGATTCTGTCTCTGTAGCTTTAAATGCTAATGAGCTGCTGCTGGCCACGCCCCTCTGAGAAGTGATTGGTTTGAAAAAACAGAATGGTGCTCTAGGAGGAGATTCAGGTGATAAGGTGTGTATGTGGGGGGGGGGGGTTACCTTGGTTGGTTATTGGCTAATTATTGCACAACCCAAAAAAACATTGTGACATCACAAAGTGGCCAAAATCTGATCAGCTCATTTTCTGACAGGTTTTTATTAAATGGATCAGGAATAAAAGGGAGAAAATCTTTTTTTCTGAAACTTTCAGAATCTCTTAACACACTGGGGTACAAGTTACTCACACATACAAAATTAATACGGTCTTTACTATAATTTGGACAATTTTGTACCAATATTCGGCAGGCCGGATTAAAAAGCCCATATATGGCCCGCGGGCCTTAGTTTGCCCATGCCTGATTTAGAGTATGCAGATGATATAATTGTTAGTAGGCTCCAGGATAATGAGACCAGCCACGGCCCTGTCATCGATGACTTTGTCAGGTGGTGTGAGGAGTCCTATCTACAACTGAACATAAGCAAAACCAAGGACATGATCATTGACATCCCCCACCTACATGAAGTCTATCCATCGTGAATCAGAAAGTGGAATATGTGCAATCATACAAATATCTCAGGACAATTATTGACAAAAAATTGAGCTCTGAATCAAATTGTGAAGCTGTGTGCAAAAGGTTTCACCTGCTTTTGTATTGTCTTAGGAAACTGTCCTATTTTAACATTGACAAAACCATGATGATCATGTTTATCTTGCTTTTATCGAGTCAATTCTGTCCTTATCTTTAATGCCATGCTTTGGTAACCTGCCTTTAAAGAGCAGAGACTCAGATCATAAAGGGGTCCAGCAGACTGACTGGTGAGCCACAGCTGAACCTGGAGTTACAGTTACAGTGGTTACCCAGCTCTAAATTGAATGATGAACCCCCCCCCTCTGCACTCAGAGTTTAAGCTTCTTCCTTTAGGAGGTTAGTTGTCCCAAAGTGTAGTACAAAGCGGTATAAAAACACCTTTATTCCAGCAGCTATCGCACAGAGGAATTAGTGGTAGCAGTGTCACACAGATACCTATTTATCGATTTATCAACTACAAATGCCCATAGTTTTACTAGTGTTTTTTAAATGTTTTAAGTTTTGACGGAGCAGGGTGTACTTTTATTAGAGATGTGTCTGTTGTATGTGTTGTTTTCAGAATGTGTGTCAGGGTAAATCCCTTGTCCTTTTATCTGCAACCCAAATCTAGCTACGGGTACCAATAAATAGCCTGAAGCTGAACCAGCGATGAACTCACAGTTTGTGGTCACAGTCCTGAGGGGGTTTGAGCCTGTGTCCGGACAGCAGCAGCTCCAGCAGCTCGTGGTTGCTCACTCCAGGATAGGGAGTCCTTCCCCGGGACACAATCTCCCACATGGTCACCCCGAAGGACCACTGAGAGGGTAGGGACGACAAATACAGGTAAGACATAGAGAAAATATCACATTCCAGGAATGAGAGTCCAATCTCTACTTTCTCACAGCAACTCACAGCTCCATAGTGTTCTTGAGTTGCTCTTTGTTTAACCAATCCTAATCCGTTTTTCCCTTCTCAAATCACTAATTCACTCATTTGTATATATCGTTTTAAGGTGGTCCCTTGAGGATTTACCTTAAAATTGTAATTATTCTGCTAACTTAAATGTAAATTGTATTCAATGTTTCCACTTTGTGAGATTGATAGGCTGGACAAGCATAATGTACACTGCCCTCAATTATATTTGTACATTTATATTGTACATTCATTATATATACTCTATACATATTTATCCTTCATTATTGATACGTATATATTCACTGTTTTGCTTATTTGGTTCATATTCTACTTCTAATATGTATATCTTTATTGTTTTTCATTTGATTTATTCCTGTGCCATGTCTTCTCTTGGTGCTGCTGTGGCGGAAATAATATCTAATCGAATGTTTTATCTTTCTTTCACAGCTGTTAATCATGTGTCTAATGAAGCGATGTCCCGTGAAGCCTGAACTCACCACATCACTCTTGGTGGTATACAGGGACTCAGACAGGCTCTCCATCGCCATCCACTTGATCGGCACACGGATCGCCACTTTTTGGCGGTAATAATTGTCGCTGTACATTTTTTTGGACAGGCCGAAGTCAGCCACACACACCCGCAGGTCATCGCCCAGCCTATGGATACAAAAAATAAATAATTAAAATGCTTTAGGTTAGGCAGGGATATGGAAGAGGATTAGTGCCAGTAAAAAAAATGTGGGGGACATTTCAGAAAAAATACTTAAAATTCGGAAGTTCTGAATTTCAGAACTCCATTTATCTGTTTTAACTTTTGGGCCCAACCCAAACAAATATTTTCATATGGCCCTAATCCTCTTCTGAACAATGCTTTCTGGAGTATAGGATAAAATAACAACAAATAGAGTTCTGATAAACAGTCTTTTTAATTTGTGCTAATACACTTTCTCCTCTAAAGCCTCAGTCTACTTTCTTGATATTTTGATCAGCTTCCTCCCGAGGAATACCAATGGCTAAAGGACAGAGTCACAGTCATATTTGAACAAGGAGTCATTCATTTGCCCCCCCTCAATGTCTCCCTCTGATAGACTAACATGCAGTTGCGTGCAGCCAGGTCTCTGTGCAGGAAGCCCTGAGAGCTCAGATACTGCATCCCCCCCGCGATGTCCACCATGAAGCGCAGCAGACTCTGGTGGGGCACAAACTGAGGGGG